AGCAATATCCCTTTTGATTTTGTGCATAACCATGAAAAATACATTGTGAGGCCTTAGGATCAAACTTGGAACGATGAGGGCCAAGAATTTAAACAAAGCATGTACAACCAAAGGTTTTAAGGGGAACGATAAATAACTCTTTATCAGGATATAAGAGGGTAAATGGAGGTTTCATGTCAAGAACCCGTGAAGGAATCCTATTGATGAGATATACTGCTGTAAGAATAGCATTTCCCCATAAACGTATAGGCACATTGGAGGTAAACATAATGCTTCTAGCCACCTCCAATATGTGTTTATTCTTTCTTTCAGCAACCCCATTATGCTGTGGTGTATGAGGACAGGTACTCTGATGGATAATCCCATGTTCAAGCAAATAGGAGGCTAATGGGTTTGCAAAATATTCTTTCGCATTATCAAATCTAAAAATTTTGATTTGGACCCCAAATTGGGTTAAAATCATCTAAAGAAAGATCTGAGTTAATGTTGGAACCTCATCTCGAAAACACATGAGATAAACCCACGAAAAACGAGTATAATCATCAACAAACAGTAGGAAATATCTGTACCCCCCCATGGCAGTGGTATGGTAAGGTTCCCAAACATCAGTATGCACACTTTCAAAGGGAATATTACTTCTATTATTACTTAATGAATAGGTTGTCCTGCAGTGTTTTGTAAGTTCACAACTCTCACATTTCAATCTAGACATCTAGATAGATTCAAATAAACTGGGAAACATACTCTTCAAAGCCCGAAAAGTTAAATGACCCATTCTATTATGCCAAAGCATAGCCTGATCAACAGATTGAGAAACACAAGACCTCTTAGTCTCACTATCTTTCCCAATGAGAACTCTCTCCAAGCAGATAAACTCCATTTGCCTTACGGCCAGTCCCAATCACCTTCCTTGTCTCCAGATCCTGAAAAACACATCAATCCGAGAAAAAGGTTACTGAACAATTCTGGTTTTTTGTAATGCTACTAACTGAAAGCAAGTTAGTACTAAGCTTAGGAACATGCAAAACCGAAGAGAAGGAAATGGCATTAGACAACTTGATGTCTCCTTTGCCAGAAATAGGAATGAGGGAGCCATCAACAATGGGCACTTTGTCTCTATCGGAAGATAAGTGATAGGTAGTAAACAGTGATGGCAAGCCAGTCATATGGTCAGATGCTCTTGAATCTATTATCCATAATGTTCTGTATTACCTGTAGCTGAGGCATGGTGAGCTGAGGCCCGATTACCCTTATGAGCAAAAGCTGAGGTAGGGGGTGCTGATGCTGTCTGAGGAGGTGGAGCTGAATTACCAACTTCATTTTCCAGCTGAATTAGAGCAGCTCGGACAGAAGCTAGGGTGTCTAGAGGAGTACCTTTTGTGCTAGATGAGGTTGTACTATCAGTGTTAACAACCATATTTGCATTCCCCTTTTTGTTTATGAGTTTTGCTGGAACTAGATGTGGATGCAACTTCCAACAGGTATCTTTAGTATGTTTAGGTTTCTTGCAATGCTCACATACTAGGTCCTTATTAGCTTCCTTCATGTCTCTTTCCTTATCACCCTCAGATTTGGGCTTAACTGCTGCCAGAGCTGATTCAAAAGGCTGTTGCTGTAGCATAACTTTTCTCCTAGTTTCTTCGCTGTGTACTAAGGAATAGGCTTGGTATAGAGTTATACTGTCTCTTGTCAACAATTGCTGTCTCACAATATCATATTCAGAATTTAGACCAGCCAGGAATTCAAACACTATTAGTTTCAATCTTCTTTCTGTAAGTCTGTGCATCCTTCTGACTTTCCCTGTCAATTGATTCAAGGTGGTCAATTTCATGCCACAGGGATTTCAAGATTGAAAAATAAACAGAAACTTGTTTCTCACTTTGCTTGAGATTTTTAACCTCACATTTCAGCTCATAAGCCCTAGCAACGTTAAGGGGTTGAGAGTAGGTTTCTTTCACAACATCCCAAATTTCCTTAGCTGTTTTTGCCCATAAGTAGTTTCGGATGATGTGTGGCTGCATAGAGTTGCACAACCATGTCATCACCAAATAATTCTCTTGAATCCACTTAGCATAAGTGGGATCCCCCTTAGTTGGTTCCTTCATATCCCCTAGCAAATAGTTTAGTTTTCCTCTTCCCCCAATGGCCATCATGGCTGATTGAGCCCATTCTAAGTAATTTGACCCATCAAACTTAACAGTTGTAATCTGGAAAGTGTTCTCAGTCATATTACCTGAGCCAGTTCCAAAAACACCCTCCCCTTGGCTCTTGAACTCCATTCTTGGTTAGGGGTTAAGCAAAAAAACACCTTCTATTTACTGTAACAATCAGCCTACTGGGTTTGAAAACTAACGACAGTAGGTCTAGAAACAGAAAACAGATTTAGTAAAAAAACTTTCCAATTCACTGTATCACTATATCGATTAGCCTACTGAACCTGAGAACTAATAGCAGTTGGCCTAGGTTTCAGCAGAACTGGGTATAGAACTCCTAAACAGATTATCTGGACACAGTAACAGTCCTGGATTTCAGGGTTTTCTCTTAAAACCTGTAGAGAAGATGGGCCGAATGGCCCATAGGTTGTTTATTCTTTCTTGTTATTTATGTTTCTTTTCTGTAATGGGCCTTATTCTGGGCCCATCCTGTCTATATTAAGTTCTTTGTAAATTCTTGCCCACCTAAGGGCCTCCTTGTAATTATTCAAATATATCTTAATAAAAGAATGTTAGGGTGCTGAGAG